TGCCCAGGCCTGGCTACTGAGGGTAATAGGTCAGCATACCTTGGCACACAATGCCTCACAACCTGTGTGCCTGCATGGTGGGCTCCACATGGTTTAAGGCCATGCTTGCCCCTACACTCCAACCCACCCGGGTCCACTCTGCTGCTCCCACTCTCCACTGCAGCTTCTCAGCAGGGACCAGTAGGCTGGCTGCACAGCTTGGCAGCCCAGCAGCCATGCCACTCTGACTCTACATCGATGCTGGCTATTATGTAAGTAGATTCCTGCCTAAGAAAGCTGTCCATAAATGATCTCCCTGTCTCATTGCACAAGCCAATGGAAACCCTAAGCTTCAGAATCACACACGCACATGCATAACTTCTAGGTACAGGCTTTGCCTCTAAACAGTTATTCACCGTTGCTGTGTCTGTCATTCATTTGCCAATTCAGCAGTCATTTCTCCCTTTCCTATACCAGGAAATAATCCCCTCCCAGGTGGCCAGTTCTCAGGGTAGGAATGATGATTAGCTAAGTTATTCATGGCTAATGTTTCCTTTTGCCTTTGATGGGGATGAGCATGTAACTTAGCTCTAACAATGAAATGGAAGTGTAGGTGAGTCTGCTGGTTCTCCCCGGAAGAGTTTTCCTTCTCCAGAGAGTAAACATGCATTTGCCTCTATTCTCCTCTATTACTTTGATGCTGTCATGTGAAGGAGTGGCGCTTGGATGTCAGACAAACGTTAGAACTGAAGGCCACACAAAGAGAACAGCAGAGCAGAGGGATTCCAATGAACTTGCCAAACTTGGGCTAGCCTGCCTTTTGTCTTTAAGACATTCTTAGTTTTTAGTTACTTATTGCCAAAGGCATTCCTGACTATTCACCTTTCTCTAGGAGACTAATAGGACTAGCCTCAGCACATCTCCCAGCCCTGGTTAAATGCTGCTTTTAGAATGTCCTCATCTGACCCATCTCTTCACACACTAACTTTACCTCTGTATCCTCTGAAATCCAACTTCTGTGAATTGCAAACTCCCTTGTATTCAAAACCTCTTCATCTCCTTGCAGCAACTGACACTTGGTAATCCCCAAAGTCTCTTTTTTTTTGTTTGTTTTTTTTTTGTTTTTGTAGATTTTCAAGTAGAGGCTGGTTATTTGTTTTTCTCTATGTAGGCATTTCACAGCACCTGTGGGGGTTGGTGTCTTTCTCTGTTTTCATTTCCTCTAGTTTTTGTTGTTGCTTCTAACAATTGCAGCTTTTTGAAACATAGTACAGATATACCCACCCATTTCTAACCTTAGTTCCCATCTTCTATCAAATTCCAGGACACTCCTTCACATTCTTTGATGTCAAACACCACCCCCACCTTAATTCTTGTTTTTTTCTATTGTTATTCTTGACCTCAACATATTTGATGATGTCCATCCAACACTCATGTCTATTATTTCTTAAACTGCTCAAATCTAACACTCTGTCCTCCATCCTACTCAGCTGTAATTGTGGGGAAGAGGAGAATCAATGGAACTTGAACAGAAGGCATCTGTATAGACCCAGCCCTCCTTTGAACTATACCACRATGCCCTTACAGTCAATAATTATGGAGAAATCAACTTCCACATCTCTGCATTCAATAATGGCTGACTCTAGTAATGATAACGGGTACAAGTTGCTTTTGTTATTGTCTGAAGGTCAAGATATTCTGGGGAGAACTATCATGTAAGAAAAATCAATAGCAGCCTTTAAAAAATGTCAGCATAAAATGCCATTCAAAACAAGTATAAAAGGTTAATGCCATTTTATTTTGAGTGTTTCAAAATATATTATCAGATGAATAGAAGCTATGTTCCCCATAAAAAGACAAAATAATTAGCCAAAGCTACTTAAGCATCTGGAGAAAATGTGTAAGAAATTGTTAAGCCAGAATGTTTTTCATGTTGTGTGCTCAAAACACCCATGTACCCCAGGTGCAGTGGCTTCTTATCATGTATGTGAGCATTCAGTAAAATCACCAGGGTTGGCATTGAGCCCTTAGGTAACTGGAGGTCAGTAAGGGACAGAGTGTCTGGTAAGAAATTGGGTAAAGTGTTTTTATTTGGARATAATGATGGAGTCATAAGTTTTCTAAGGAATTAAATGAATACGCAGAAGACAAGTTCAGATATGCCAGGGCATCCTGAGACAAAGGATTCACACTGATCTTGGATGGTGGTGTCTTTTTGGTAACCATGGTGAAGTCAGATGCGTTTAAACACTAAGTGTAGGAAATTGCTTAAGAATGAGTCAATAATGAATCTCCCCTCTTTGGTAAAATTGGGCTGAAATCCTTCAAAGTCAGACTTGGAAATATATGCTTGAAAACTTCAGTCACGTAAGTTTCAGCTAGAGTTGATTAAAGAAAAAACAATCCTCAGTCCCTTATTTCTAGAGGAAAAAAGATAAAGGTAACATAAAACATATAAAAGCCAATAAATCCAGTAAGTCTCAAGAGCAACTTGGATTTCATAATAGCATTGAGTAACAAAATACATTTGATTTCTCATAAGTTTAACTATATCCAAAAAAATTTCTGCTTAAAGATTAATAGGTGTAGATTTCATGAAGGAGTTCCTGATTGTTTAATGTGAGCTGATTMTACTAAGGATAATAAACGTATTACCTCAATATACTTCAGCAGCTGATGATGCATCAAAATCTTGCTTTGAACTTTATRGATCTCAGGAGAGAATTATTTCCTTTCTCTTTCCCCATCCAACCCTTTTCTCACTGCTGTTCAGGGGACAGAAAACAGAAGTCATCTTGTATCTTGTAATATTCAAGATGGGTACTCCACAGAAGGAAAAGGACATCTCTTCTCTGTGGTGGCAGCAATGGTTCTGCACTCTCGCATTTTCTCCCTCCCAATGTGAGGATCTCTATTGCTAACTGCACAGATGTTGTTAAATGCTTATTAAGCATAAAAATTGAAAATAGAATTTACATGGGGTTATGATGAAACTTCTATCATTTGATCCATGGGGAATGATTAGAATAAAATCTTACATTACCTACTTTTAGAGAAATAAAATGCACAAATCCAGATAATCTTCCATGATGATCAGTTTATTGGTTCCAGAAATAGCCTAATACACATGCAATCATTCTTTTGGGTAGTGAACKATGGATTTGGTCAAATTCCTTAGGCTTCTATATCCCTAATGCAGCCTGATTCTGTCTCAGTCTTAGGCATGGTTTCAGGCTGGCCAAGAGTCATKCCATTAATATGAAGGATTTCTCCTTCAGTTTATTCTCACTTAGCCACTTTTGGGAMAGGTAAGCTGTTGAACTTCGTGCATGAAATGTTGTGGAAAAAAATATATGTWTATATATAATACTATTTAAGATAAAGGCAAAAGGTAAACATCAAGTGATATTTATACACAATTATGGGTATTTGTAATATTAGCTTTTAAAACTGCATGCAGAATTAGATTACTTCTTTTTGTAGGGTAACACATATTCAAGTTGCAAGATACCTTTTCCATGGTTGGGGATAGTATAGTGCAGAGAGAATGCTTGTCTATTTGTACGTACACAGGTGTATATGTGTGCACAAGATATAAAGAGAAGCACTAACAAACATGAGCAGCAAAATATGAAAGCAAATTATTCTGGGTATATGCCAGAGAAAAGTACCATTCCCACTAAGAGAAATACTTCAGACTGAAGAAAAGAAAGCAAGCTCTCACAATCTTACATGATTAGGAAGAGAATATTATTTCCCATTTACTTCATTTCTCACAATAGGTTGCCATAAAAGGATTTCTTAAGAAACTGAGAAGTTGCAACTCGAGCATCAGAGTAATATTGTCCGAATTTCATGGAAAAGTTTCCCCAAATTCAGTTAAAATATTTTTTCTAAAATAAAAAAAAAAACTCTTGCATGACCTGAAAATAACTGAAATGTTCTGATTTAAAGTTTCATAAAATTTAACCCTTCTCTATAATGTAGTTTAGTTTMTCTTTTGTCAGACCTTTTTATCTGAATAGTTTTTCTACTTGGAGACACTGCCCTCTGCTGTATCAGGCACTTAACTGCAGAAGGATTTTTACTCAAAAGGATGGGGGTGGGGGCAATTACTCAAGTGCAAGATTTTATTTTGAATAYACATATAATTCATTACATTTAATTTTCATGGTGAATAACTATGTATGGAAGTATACAAGGAAAAATAAACATTAGACATACCTAAGGATGAAAGTATACAGGCAAAGACWTTATATCTATGAATAGGTTTAGAAGTATCATAAGACAGTATCCATTGGATAAGACTGAAAGCCATGCAAAACATTTATTCAAACCATGACAGGCAAGTGCAATCATTACAAGATATAGTTTTCTGTGTACAAAAACGACATGTTCTTTGGATTGAAGACAACATAAATGAGTGGTGTGGCTTTTATGCCCAAGACAAAAATCTATAAAAGTTAAAAAGTGTGGATATTGTTGTACCACATGTGATAATAAAAAGGCCACAGATGGAGATCTTCAGTTCAGTTTACAAAGAAAATATTGAGAGGTAGGGTAAATAAAATACAGGGAAATGCAATAAAGAAAATGCTATCCCTGCCCGAACAAGGAAAGAGCAAATGCACAGGCATTCAAATATCAGCTCCACGTATTGCACTGCATTTCTATTTTCTCTGTTAAAAGGAATTAACTGTGCATCAAATACAGAGCCTTGACATTAGGGCAAATTTAATTTCCTTTTTATTTCACAGATGAAGGAAAGAAGGAGTAGAGAACTATGAATGCTCATCTTTCCATTCAAGACACTAACTTTTAAGGGTTTTTAATATACTACATTTGGCACCAAGGGTATAGGGATTTGAAGGTTAATTATACTCAAGCGTTAGAAAGTTGAAGTTATTTACCATTTTAAAAATCAAATGCTTGAAGCAGGCTTTTAAAATTGAGGAAAAAAAAGTTGATAAGGAAAAAACAATGCAGAAAGATGCTGAACAAAATCTTCTGGTTCTCTTTATAGTTTTGTTTCCCCTTTTATTATTTTTTTTTCCAAATTGCATTTTACAGTAGAAATGCAGACCACTTTGGATAGATATGGCTCAATATTGCTTGGTTCTCTCCTCCTAAGACATTAATTTCTTGCACTCTATCGAACAGAAAACCATCCCTTCTACGGGCATGAACTTCTGCCCAATGAGGCTCTTGCTGCAGCAGGAGCACAGAAAGCACTCTGTGGTTGCATGCCAGCTGAAGTTGTTGTAGGTCACGCGTTGCACTTCTGGATCGATGGCATTGTGGCATCCTTGACACACCTGCTCAGGAATAATACAAGAGAAGAGAGGAGAGTGAGAGATAAAACTGACAGTAACATTTTCATATTGGGACACACTAACACGTTTCTTCAGATGGTAAATTAAAACTGAGAATGACTACTTCAGAAATATACAACTCAGATTGAGTGACCTTCTAGTTAGCCTTTTAAACCAATAACCCTTAATGGGGATCTAAATGGTGAGCACTGTGAGAGATATAAGATGAAGGCCAAATGCATGATTGATGCTTCAAAGATGTCCCTATGTTGTTGAAGGTGGAAAGTTTTGACAAGTTCTAAAACAGTACATTTTGGCATATTCTATTAGACTGCACATTAGTAATTATAAAGAAGTTTATGAGATGATTTTTCCTTGTGCATTAAAGCTTTGAGGTGGTAATTTTACCAATCTTACTGATCACACAGAAGATTATTAACACCACTAGTTTCTAGATAACAGTAAATTAAAATCATGTTCAAAGTAATTAAGGACTCAATTAAAAATACTGGCAGTGTTTGAGAATAATGAGTTTGCACTAAAAATATAACTTGTAGTTAACTGGCTTCTATTCTGTCATAAGATCAGTCATAATATGTGCAAATCTAATACTATATTAGAGTAACTATATTGTATTAATAATTATATCCCCTATATTATTCAATATTATGTTATACTCAAATATATAAGATGTACACATACACATACATGCATCAAACACATTATTTTCTTACTTAAACATGTATGTGAAAAAAATAAAAACTAATCCACTGACATCTTTAAAGCACTAGACAGTCCATTTGGTTTGTTTACCTCTTTTCAATGAATGTGGAAATACAAAATCTTTGTTTCAAATATTTTACAAGAAGCCAATAAGACTTTCCAGTATGACAGTGACCTGGTCTSTTAAGGAATTACTGAGTGATGAGGGGTAGGAATGAGCGAATTGAGGAGGGTCATTTAGTGTGAACCTCCTTAGTTGAAAAGACTTAAAATGTGGCTGCTGCTTAATGGATACACTGGTTTAGGCAGGGAAAGGAGGCCTATTACACATTCACTGACGTGCAATATATTTTCCAGGTTTACATTGCTTCTAATTCCAGAGATTAGAGTTCTGTAATCTACAAATTATATCAACTCAGTCTTCCCTGGAAAACAAGGGAGATCCTTTATTTGGATGATGGATACACTATTCCTGAATACTACAGATCAACACTATAATTACAAGCACACTCCTAATTTGTAGCTGTACCATGTGAATAAGTGCTTTTGTGTATATTTAATTTTATAGGCTTATAATTCATTCAGAATGTGGTCTTACAGTTTCTTTATTTCATATTAATCATTCAATATTTTTAAACTTGTTCATACAAATTTATTTCATACAATGTTTTAATTGCTTGCTACTTTTTCCTCAGTTGAGTAGTACTATTTGTGGACCTATTTATGATGAAGTAAAACACACATTTTCATTTTGCAGAAAAAAGATATAATCACTAYTTAATTGCATATGGAATCAAGAAAATTATTTAGGTTAAAAAATAAATACAGAAATGGTGTAAAGAATTTAGGGTTTGTGATTTTATAAATTTAGTTTTACTAATTTTATTTGATCACCATTCACACCAAAGTCTTAAGTATAATTCCAGAGAAAATTTGTAGAACCCTACTTCTTCAAAACACTCAAATTCACTAGACACCAAGGGCCTGGGTGCTGTATAAGCTTTCAGAGAAATGATGCACCCCACCATTTTCCTTCTGGCATTGAATTGGCTGTATTTTTAACCCTCTCATATTGTAGGGTTTTTATTTCCTTCAATCCCCCTTCTCTGGTTTTATGTCTGTATTTGCAGTGCAAATATCAGGAAAATTGAGAAAGTAAACCTTTTAAAAGAAATGATGCCTGTTATAAAATTAAATMATTTGCAAGTACTTTTGTTTTTWAAAAAATTATATCTGTAGTGTTTTCCTTCCATTGGTTAGACACAATGTAATGGACAGGAGCTTGAAACAGCTGCCTAAAGAACTTTGCTATGTTGAAACATTTATTCAGCTCTTATTTATTGAGCACCCACTATATTGTTCTAGTATTTGGAACAGAACAGAAGAAGCTCTCAGAGAGTTTATGTTCTAGTCTTGAGAACAATGTTACACATCCTCCCCCCCCCCAAAAAAATACATATTATGATCTCTCCCACAGAGAAACAGTTGCAAGAATATTTGTAGATGTTTTAACTAAGTAATATATTAAGCTCCAYAGTGATTTAACCTCTTGTTGCCAGGTAAAGGGAAGGTCCATGGTGATCCCAAAGTAAATGAGAAACAAGAAACAAGAAAAGAAGTCAGTACTCAAACAGTTCCCAAGTGTAGACACTGATAATGTGTAAATAAAAGAGCAAATTCTTGAGCTACTTACAGTCTAGTAGAGGAGACAGGGGAGCAATATTAACAACCACATATACCCTCCCCTCTAGAGGAACATGGAATCTTGCTAGAGAGAAAGGGGTGGTTGCTGGGAGCAGGCAGTCAGAAACTTTTCAGAAGTTTTTACTTCTGAAAAAAAGTAAATCCTCAACTGATTCTGGAGAAATGTGTAGGCACAGTCAGGTAAAATAAGGAGGAGGAGGATGTACCAGACAAACTAGTAAGAATGAGCAACAGACAAAGAACAATGTATAAACTAAAGAAAGCAAATAATAATGTGGAAAGATACAATCTAAGTTGTTATTGCTAGTAAAAAGTGACAGGATCAGACAAACTAGTAAGAGTGAGCAACAGACAAAGAACAATGTATAAACTAAAGAAAGCAAATAATAATGTGGAAAGATACAATCTAGGTTGTTATTGCTAGTAAAAAGTGACAGGATAGTCAGGAAAAGGCCAGATCTATTATACAAAATCTTAGTGATCACATTTGCATTTTAGGAAGATTGTTTCCCATAATTATGGAAGATGGCTTTGGAGCAAGATGAATAACAGAAGTGGGGGGCATATTTGAGAACACTATGATAATCAAAGTGACAAAAAACTAAYGTCTAAAATGGAATAGCTGTACCTGCAATGAGCTAAGATACACACTGCTGAGGCAGAGTCCAGAGAAAATGAATGACTATCTGGGGCAGTGGGTTAAAATTGGCTGAAAATTGGCAGTGACATCAAAACTGCTATCTTTTTTTGAAAAAAAAAAAATAGCACCATACTCTTAAGAACTATATAAAGATGTAATTTTATTCCTTAGCCAGGAGTCTCCCATGCTTGATGGCTTACAGGAATATTTAACTATTACATTCTCCTACATATAAACAAATACAAGTCTATCCTTCTGATACTCCTGGCCTAAATGCCCTACCATATATGGTCAAATTTTTACCCATTATCTATGTTACCAATCTCTTGGCCATTACACAATAGCAGTTCTGTGAAAGCAGAGTATATGCAAGAAAAATTATACTCCCACACTAACTGAATGTTTGGCCCACAGAAATCTAAATATGCAGGTCAAATTTTGCTATACTGAATCAATTCAATGAGGGTTAAAAACAAAAAGAAAACCAAACAAACAAAACAGGTACYGTACAACTTCCAGGTAGCAAAAACAAGTTCTAGTGGGTGGCCCAATAACACACTAGAAATCACACAAGTTTGGAGGCTAAAGTTATGAACAGTTGCCAGAAACATTATTTAAATGTAATCTAACCTGAACCTATGAGAATAAATCAATCTTATTCCATTAAGGATTTTATTTTTTCCATGATGGTTTTATTATCACGCAGCACTTATAATCTACACTGTAAACACACAGGTAGAACGAACTATTTTGAGATGGTCTGTAGTCAGTGCATGTACTGTTTTTGAACTGCTTGGATGTTAAYACCCTGTAATGGGAACCACATGGTTTCTATGTAAGAGAAGTGCTATCTGCCTGACATTTGTGAAAAGTTTCAAGAGAGGCATCACTCAGGTTCTAAAGCAGGCTGAGGCAACCATATCCCTAAAAGGCTTCTCACCACAGCATGATTCTTCACATAGCAGGGCTTGCATACAGGCTTGTCATTGACCATTACATATATTTCCCCCGCTAGGATATTGTCACAGTCAAAGCAGCAGAAGTGTTTCAGATGCCAGTTTTGGTTTTCGGCCTGGGTGTACTCATTGCTGAATATAAGCTGGGAAGATTAAAAAACAAGATAAATCAAGCATTTTTCTTTGTGCTACAGATAACAAACAAAGCTAGGTTCTTTAAACAATAAGGCATTTAGATTTACAAGCAGATCAAATATTTTCTTGGGGCTTAAAGTTTGAAAATGATAACTTGAATTTGTGTTTACATAGTTCAAATTAACATTTTGTTTCTGAACAGTCTTTCATCAGTAAACACAATTAAGACAGACACCAAGAATGCATAAAGTCAAAAGTTTCTTTCATTAAACTTCTTTGAAGGTATGAAGCAATCAATATTTGGTTAATTCCTGCTGTCTTCTAGTAAAACAGCCATATAGGGGAAAGGAAGGAGCCTGCATGCAGGCTGCCCCATGAAACAAACCTCATCACAGCCAGCACATCGTGGTTTCTCGCTGTCACAGTAATGTCTGCCACAGTACAGCTTCCCATTCTTCCAGAAATAAATCATGTCAACCAGGAGTTCAGAGCAGGTACTGCAGACAAAACAAGCTGGGTGCCACAGTTTATCATAGCCAGCTCKTTCAGCATAGATGGCTGGGTCACCTTCCTTCATACTCAGTTTGCAGCAAAAGCAGGACTAAAAGGAAAGCATCAAAAACAATCTGGTCATCAATAGACATAGTTTCCTCATCAGTGCCAGCAAGAAAACAGAACAATAATTTCAAGAGAAATAATTTCTACTGAAATTATTAATTTGTCCCTTCAGATAAGGTATTAATATTTCTGTAAAATGGAATCTCTTAATTTAGGCTATTCAAAGCTCTGTCTTTTGTTTCCTGAACTGAAGTCACTTATGGCAAAAATCTAATAGTAATTTCCACCTCAATTTTACATGAATTCTCTCAAAAATGATTACATTAAGAGCTTATTAGTATTTTTTTTTCAGAACTGAAGCTTATTAGTTGGTGTGTTAACTGGATCTATGAAAAAGATTTTCCATTAAGTTTAGTTCTAAGGCTTTACTCATTTATGTCATAATTTTCTTCTACTTTTGAGTCATYAGACAAAGACTTCCTCTCTGGAAGCAACTTAAAATAAAAATACTGGCTGACATTGCCACATAAATTTAATAACGAGTTTTAGGCATGTTTTCACAGCAAAACTGAATTAATCTAAGCATGTATTATTCTTACTTATGAGAAGAGATAAGCAAATAACAATTTCACAGTTCTGTTTTAGCATGTTGTTTTCAAGCAGGATGCTAATGCCAACTACTGTGGGTACATAATATTCACGATATCCTTAGCAACAGATAATCAGAAAACTTGGCTTTAGACACAAACAGAATGACTCTCTAAAATAAGTCTAACTCAAATTTTCATTTATCATTTACCTCTTTTTTTTTGGAAAAAGAGGAAAGGCCCACCAAAAAAAGTTCTAAAAGACCTATAAAATATACTAATTGGACCATCAATGTGACCATTCTACTTACATATTGTTTTTTTTTGTGCTCTGCAGATTCATTCTCCATGGTGCCCACTGTTATTGGGGTATTTCTGTCCCCACCAGGAATGTACATTTTGTCAGGTCCTTGAGTGTCCATCTCATAGGGAAGTTTGACATCTCCTACTCCCAGAGCCTCGTTCTTGTATTTCTTCACAAACTGTTCCATCTCCTTCACCTCTTTGGGAGATAACTCATGGCACTTGGAAGGGTCCTGGTCATGTGCAGGGAGCTGCTTTGCCAGCTGCTTTTTCCGGTACTGTGCCCCCTCTGAGCCTGCCACTGGCTGCTTATCCTTAGGCAGCATCTGCATGTACTGTCTGGCCTGAATGACATGGACCAATGTTAACAGGGATAAGTCCTGGTGACTAGGCAGTATAATCTTCTATAATACATATCAGAAACAAGTTAATTAAGAAACAGTGGGTTTTATATATGGGTAGCAGTTCATCCTCATACTACAAGTATCTTGAGATACTAACACATTAAAAATGGTATGGTAAATAAATGATTTAGTTGTGTAATAAATATATTTTTCTCCATGAAATTATTTTTTTTCAGTTTGTAAAAAAGATTTGGATTACTATTATTTACTTGTGCTAAATATAATTGGGAAAAAACCACAAACTTTAGAAAAACTTGATCAGAATGGTTTAATGGTCAGCAACATTTTTATCATATAAAATGTGATCTTATCATGATATCTACTTTAATGATATAAGTAACCTTTCTAAAAGACTTCCAAATGCTTCACCTAGTTGTCATAATTGTGGAAGGAGCCTGACACAAATTCACAATTTTTGGCCTTACATAGTAAAAGAAATAAAATGTTGAACATTTTTTGTTCAGTTCTAATGATGTAAGTAATTCCATTCTTTAGACATCCTTTATCATCTTACGAGAAATCCTCTTAAGTTACTTGAGTAGAGAAGTTACTAGATAACAAAACATGTGATTTCATTAATTATTAGGATTGTCAGACCACTCTTTAAAGTGGTAAATATATTTAGGTAGTCAAAGAAATTGCACAAGGGATTTAGTCTTACTTTCAAAAAGATTCTAATAGGGGCCCGAAGTGAAAGTAATAGAAGCTACAGAGAATTAATAGATTTGGGGGTAGGTGAGGTGAATTAGGTCAGTAAAGAAATTATTCTAAATAAAAAGCCCAAGAACTTGGATAAAGGGACTCCTCATGCCCCTATTATTTACCAACGCTTGATTCTGGACAGGAGGAGCCCACTCATAGGTAACAGTATTGATGGAGACATTCTTCTTGGCAGCAACTGGATTGGTCAATATCATAACATTGCGTTTATACATGGGAATTCCATCTGATTTTAGCTTTGCAATCAGGGTGGTGTACTTGGTGTCTTCAAAAAGTTTTCCCACTTTTCGGTCCTCTTCATTGCTCAAGAGGACATCATGCTCTTCTTGGCCACACTTGCAATTACGGCATATTTTTCTATAATTTAAGAAACAAGTAGGAAGTGTTTAACTACAACAAGTCAATAATAATCAAGTATCCACATACATTTATAGTTCACAAAATATTTTTAAATACATGCAATATAAGGGAATGTAAAGGCAAGTCCCTTTTTTGCAGGGGAGAGATGTGTATCCATAAATTTAAGCAAGAAGGAAACATGAAAAACSTATGATAGCTTTATAAACTTCAATAAGTGAGATTATGGCTAAAAAGTGCATGCTCAAGGAGGCAGGTCTGAGGGTAAACCCATCAGTGTACCCTTACCAAAATAAATAAATAAATAAACCAAACCAAAACTACCCAACAAAATATTTCATATAATATTGTATGTTAATATTTCAAAGTTGTTRTGTTGTTTTTAAATGTGAGTAAGGGAGATTGACAACTTTGTTTAGCAAAGACTATACATCCTACATTCAGGTTTATAGGCTTTCTCATTTCTTTTCCTGTACAATTTCCAATTTCTTTTCCTTTCCATTCCTTTCCTATCATTTTTCCTTCCATATTTCTTTTTTCTTMTTTCTTTAAATTCCATAAGGGATACTAGTACACAGTGAAAAAAATGGGTCCAGTTTTTGCCCTCTAGAACTTGCTGGTGGGGAGACAGAAAATAAAAATCTCTTATACACATACGCACACTTCTATAAGTGATATCTTTCCTATTTGTGACAGGAAAGATAAATAAATGTTATCTTGAGAGAGTAMTTTTGATTTGAAGTTGGTTAGAAATGGCCTCCTTAAGAAAGTGACATTTAGGTATCAAGGATGTGTAAAAACATAGGTGTGAACTATGGATGTTGTGTTTATTTGGGAAGGGGAAAAATGAGAAAGAAAAGCCCTCACCCCCAACATTCTGGTAGAAAAGAAGAATATCTTCAGTGGTCCTGAATTAGAAAAAAAAAAAAAAAAAAACCAAAAACAACAACAATGAACAAACAAAAAAATAACCCTGAGGTCCCATAACCAGAGAAGGTTGGTACAACTACAATGAATAAACTGGTTAGCAACAAGATTATAGAGAGGTAGGCAGGCATGAGATCATGGAGGGACTTGTAGGACACATCAAGGAATTTGCCCTTCATTATAAGAACAATTAGGGGACACTGAAGGGTTTTAGGTGATACAATAACACCAGATCTATAATTTTAAATAATRCAAAGCCTGGCGCATGGAAAATGGTCGAGCTAGAACACATCTGGAAGAATGGAGACCAGTTAACATGTTAATTGTGGATGCAGTTTGGAAATGCATGGTTCTTAGTAACAATGATACTGCAACTATTTTACGAATGGAATTTACAGTCAGATGGGCTAATGCTTTGGTCGAAGTAAGATGGGTTATAACTTGAAGTAGGGTATTTGACAGCGGAAATGAAAAGAAAGATATTTTAGATCTTCTTGTATTTAACTCTTTAAACTCTGCATCTTGATTTGGATGTGGTGATAGTTTCTGAAAAAATAAGCACAGATTTTTGAGATAAGTTGGTAGAAGGAATATTTAGTTTATGAACATAATAAAAAGAGGAAAAGACTTGTGGTAAGGGATGGGAAGGTTGAGGGGAAAGTCTTCAAAACTAAATTATTTATAAGTCTGAAATGCCTATGAGATGGTRAAGATATCAAGTAGATAATAGAAAATGTAAATCCAGGTGTCTAAAAAAACSCTGGTAGAAAATGAAAATTTGGGCAGCAGAGAAAAATACATATGCATCTTAGTTTAACAGATCACCTGTATCCCATAGAGAAAGTACAGAAGGAAAAGTTATTCACAGGTATATTGACTGACTATAAACAAATGCAATGCATTAGCACTAAAAGTGTGTAACCCACTGTGTTGCAGACAAGATGCCTATACAAATCTTAAATTGAGCGAATATACCACTTGCAGTAAAATAAATACTATGTTTAAAAAGATCTTTTGAGAAAGTAATAGGTGAATGATTAGAGCACTTGAAAATATGTTTAAATTCACTGTGAAAATGGTATTAACTTTATTGGAAAAGTTACTTTTAGTAAATGTTCAACTGAACAAATATTACATACATAACTGATATGTAATATAAGAAATAAATTCATGAAAGCATTTTCAAGAACAAGGTTCTCATTTTATCTTCAGGAATGCACTATATTTCAAATTATCACTATTCCAAGATAAAGACACTGGGACAATATATACTTCACAGTAATTTGCGTGCATTGCACTGTTGCCTGATTTATGTTATATTTTGGAAAAAGTGCTCAAAAAGGCCCAACAAGGATCCTTCACCTGGGAGTAAGTGAAGTTCTACATATACTTGAAGTGGTAGAGAATCCTAACCACACTGTTTTTTCTAACACTCTATTTACTGGTTATGACTTGTTGGTATACATTCAAAATATTGGATTTTGTACTATAGGCATCATGAGGTTTAAAAATAGATTCAAGTACCCTCTAATGGAAAAAACAAGTAAGAAGGTCATACGATTACAGATTTGGATACAAATTAAATTCTCATTGTAAAATGGTTAAATAATAGTCATTGTTGGGATGAATTACCTGTAATCACTTGGCACAGTTCAACAATGGGAAAAAACACACCCACAGTAGAGTCAATGTGTCTCAAGTAAAGGTGGTGGATAGCTGTATAACAACTTTAATGGTAGTATGGATCAAAATGACTGGTTGGTTTCCAAATATTTTACTTCTAATAGAGGTAAAAAATGGTATTGGCCTCTGTTTACTCAAGTAATTAATGTGTGTATTGCAAATGCATAGATTATTTATAAATTTGTGAACAAAGAGAAGAAAGATCTCATGAATTTGTTGGATTTCAAAAGAGACATCTGCTTAGCATCCCTAAAACAATGCAATTCAAGAAATCATCAGGAGGAAGAAAGTGTAACACTCCTGAATCTGCTGCTGTCCAAGATGATATCAGATTAGACAAGAGAAACCATATTATTTTCAAATGTTAAAAACAACAATGTCAAAATAAGCAATGTTGTGCAAAAACAACAATGTATTGTCAAAAATGTAATGTAACCCTATTTGAAGGGTTTTGTTTGTATCAAAAATAATTCTTGAATAGGGCAAGAAAATCACTTCTTTGTATACTGTGCAATATGTGAAAGGGTATCATATTGCCCGATGTCCTATTCTAGGATGGCTAATATATGTAAAAGAACTACATTGTTCTAGTTTCCTAATTATTCTTGATGATCATAAAAAAATAGATAAGCCTCAAATTATGGTTTCGAATCTATTTTAATACATCTGTGTCAAGTTTGTTAAAATCTTAACAGAACCAAAAATTTGGGACATAATGGGTTAACAGGTTTTCTGGATTTGAAATTCATATAAGTCATGGGATTTATCTACATCAGAAACAGGAAAAATGNGGTTAACAGGTTTTCTGGATTTGAAATTCATATAAGTCATGGGATTTATCTACATCAGAAACAGGAAAAATGGACAACTAAAAACTTAAATAAATCTTTTTGCCAAATAAGAAATTATCAAATAATGATATTTTTTTGTTTTCTTAGAACAAAAGGAGTTTCTTAGAACTCTTTTCAGTACAAAAACTGAAAATATTAGATCTGACTTGCAAACAGAGGAGAAGGGGGAAAGAAGGGGAGAAACAGAAGGAGAAGGAGATATGGTGAGGTTGATGGGTAGATATGAACAGATGTGGGAGCATGGAGAGCCAAACTATTGTCCCTGTGCACACAATAATAGCCAGGAATCTTTACTTGGTAATAATTTGTTGAAGAATTATCATACTTAGTATAGCTATAAAACAGTCTTATATTTGGTTATCTCATACTCCCATCTAGTGGAAAGGAGCATATTATCCTACTATAGTATGGTCTTTATTTTTGTTCTTCAGTTTACAAAAATTATGGAATTACTTACAAAACTATCACATTGCTTTTGGATCAATTTAAAATTATGAGCTTTTGGAAAAGAGCTAGGGGTAGCAATTTAGTTCCCAATAGATCCTTCTATGGCATGCATGCTAATAATTAGCAAAGTGATAGCCACATCAAGGCTATGTGATGAATAATAGACTTAGGCGGGAGTCAGGTTTTATAATTTTAAAAACAAACAGTAAAAAAAACAGTCTGCTGGTTGCTAAAACATGAACTACGAAAAGCTATAGCATGGCTAAATAAATAGTATTTACTGTGAAAGTGCAAAATATAAAGGGATATATTAATCAATGACACAAGATCCATTGCTTCAACTGTTTTATTTATTTTGGCCATTCTTAGAAGGACATTCTGAAGAAGACTATTTCCCTACTCACCCGTTTATTAACCCAACCTATCTTTATTAAGCAAATAAAACAGGTTAAAACAACAAGCCAACAGCAGCAGAGATGAGGAGCAAAMGAAACCACTAAAAAGTCATACCAAGCCCAATTATCAGTTTTCTAAGTAGGGAAAATCTGTAATAAATTKATTAACAATTTTAAATCTAGACTACAGTGTAGCCTCTTTTGTACCCTCAACTCCTACATGGTGAGATGTGGAACCAGGGATGGTAAGAATCTGACTTGGGCCAGAAGGGTCCTTTCAGCCATCCCCACTGCAGCAGCTGGAATGATCACAACCTTCCATTGCCCTACACTGAAGTTCCAGTTCCACAATGGAAGAAATGATTTACAGTAGAAGGGGTAGATAGAGAAAAGGGGAGGGGAGGGGAGGGGGAATAGTTGAGAATAGGATAGACAGCAGAATACATCAGACACTAGAAAGGCAATATGTTAATCAATGGAAGGGTAACTGWTGTGATACAGCAATCTGTATACGGGGTAAAATTGGGAGTTCATAACCCACTTGAATCAAACTGTGAAATATGATGTATTAAGAACTATGTAATGTTTTGAACGACCAACAATAAAAAAAAAAAAAAAAAGAAAAGAGCCACCTACAAACCACTAAGTGGGAAAGAAACTTATAAACTCAGGACCAGGCACTATCTACTGTGGAAATCTGTTATTATCATTTATTTAGTTTAAAAAATTTCTATTTTTTTTTTCTTGTGTGGCTTTAGTCTACAGTATCTTTTATGTGAGGAAACTTTCGCAAGGTAAAACAGGGGATTCAGAAGTAAGTTATTTCAAAACAGCCCTTTTTTAATTTTCAAAAAGCTGTATAGATATAGACGGGGAAGCTTTAAGGTGTGGGGGAGGAGGTTCTTTATACTACAAGTTATTTGTAGAAAATGTYTAGTGCCTAATAAGCACACACGCTCAATAGCCAAAACTATATTCAAAACTTTCTGTAACAACTTGAGAGTTCTCGAGTTAAAACTGAGGGAGAGAGAACCAAACAAACTACCCAAAGTACTGCCTCAGAAAAATAGATTTACAGCTTGAAGCTATAAGAAGTCAAGCAGGTATCTGTTAGCCTCCAGAAAGAGATGTGTTTTTTTTTTTAGTACCACTATTCATAAAAATTATTATTTTTCCAGGCCAAATAGCAGAAACCAGAGTGCTCTGACTTGCTGCCAGCACTCATAGTGATTTAAACGCAAGGCCGTGGCACTGTTACAAACCGTAATTTAAAAAGGCTGGAAGCTGCCCTTTTGTAACAGGGATATACATATATGGACTTGAGTGTGGACCTCTGTTATAGAATTCAACACAAGTATTAATCCATTTATGGTGGGGAATTTTTAGTTTTCAGCCAGCTCTAAACCAATTAGAAATTCTGAATAGATGTTTGATGTAATCAAGTACTACTTTATTTTGTAAAACGCAACTGTTTAAATACAGGTAACGCAAAACAATACTTCTATTACTTCTGATGACAAGTAATCTATGGTTGCCATTAAACCTTCAATATTAAATAACTGGGTAAATTCCTTGAAATTTTGAGTTTGTAAGAAATTTCATAAATAATTAATTCTAAATATTACGTGGAAGCATACCCAACAGAGAGCAGTTCTTATAGGTAGGGATTAGGCTTCCTCAACATTTTGTTTTCCTCTGTCCACTAATCACTTGTATATTGAAGAAGGGGCGAGCTTCAGTTAAAGGATCTCATTGTCCACAAGGATGTCTATGTTACAAAAACCCTTCRGAGAAGACAGCCTGGTGTAGTTCAAAGTTCAGTAGTCATGAAAGGGAAAGTGCATTCCAGTTTCTAATCTGCCACATGCAAAGTCCGTGTGATAGGAAGGTTTTGCAAAGCTTTGGATTMAAACTCAGCTCTGCCATCTATCAGCAATGGCTGTGGTGAGTTATTAGGAGGATTAGGTACAATCAGGTACATAAAGTGCTGTGGTAAGCAGAATTCTATGTATGACCTTTGCCTCTGGCATCACTTCCATGTTTATGTGGTGAACTGGAATTATCCAGGTGTGCCTAATCAAATCACTCAAACCCTGGAGAAAGCATATTTCTTTTCTGAGCTGGCAACAGCAGAGGAAGTAAAAGAGATTAGAGGTCTGTACCTCAGAGAAAGGATTCTAAGCACTGCTGGCTTTGAAGATGGAGGGAACTGTATGTCAAGGAATGTGAGTGATGTATAGATGCAAATTTGTACCTCAATCCCCCAAACACAAAGAATCAAATCCTACCAATAACAGGAATGAACTTGGAAGTAGGTTTTTCCTCAGAGCTTCAAGATAAAAGCCTAATCTGGCCAACACCATGATTTCAGCCTTTTGAGACCCAGGGTAGAGAATGCAGCTAAACATTCTTTTTATTCCTCAAAATTTCTAAATTAAAGAATATATGGATGTTGAGTTAATACAYGTTTTTATGTAGCAATAGAAAACTATTACAAGTGCTATAAAGGAAATGCTTGCAAATATTTCTTATTAATAACTCATGGGCAAAAACAAATCACTTCAGCTTCCTTGGGTTTTAAGTTCATAAATGAGTTTTGACTAGCAAATACCATTCTAAATTTTTACCAGTCTAAGAATTCATTTTCAGCCTTCTACAACTATGGTGACACACCCTGAACTGACCTCTTCCATTTACCACTCCAGTCTCCACCCTTGAGTACTCTAGGTGCCCTTATCAATGGGGTAAGAAGAGGCAGCAACCAGAGATCAGAGTGATAAAAGAGTGAGCTCTGGGTATTTATCTCCTGGTTTCCTACAATGTGCTAGGAGGGAAAATGATCTCTAACTTGGGAATATGTGAAAGCAAGAAAAGRAGGTGAAATAGACCTAATTGTGTCCTCTTCAGATTCATATGCTAAAGTCCAAAATGCCAATGTGACTATAATTGGAACTGGGGCTTTTAGGAGGTAATCAAGGTTCAATGAGGTCATATAGATAGGGTCCTAATCTAATTGAACTGGTGGCCTTATTCAAAAGGAAAATCTTTTCCTACCCTACACACACACASAGAGAAACACTATGTGAGCCACAGTGGGAAGATGGCTAGCTATACCCAGAAAAAGAACCCTCACCAGAACCCATGGTGTCACCTCATCTTGGAGTTTCCAGTCTCCAGAATTGTGGAAAGACAAATTCAGGTTTAAGCCACCATTTTGTTATGGCAGCCCAAGCAGACTAATACACGGGGCAAGGGATACTCTTCAAGAGGTAGTCCTTGACCTGTGATTTTTTGGTTCCTGGTGGTTTGAGGAAGGTTCTGCCTAAGCAAAGGAAACATGCAATAAGGCACAGTAATTGCAGGGAAGAGCATGCATGAAGTAGTTGAAGCACATARTGAGGAAGGAAGTGAGAAAGGCTGGAAAAGCAAGCAGAGGTGAGATGCTAAGGTCTGCCATCAGGGGCAAAGACTTTGCCTTAGGGATTAAGTCCAGTGGAAACTGAGGGTTCTTAAAGTATGAAGAAGTATATAATAGTACCCATTTCAATACACCTTCCTGGTGGTTATATGGAAGGTCAACTGATAAAGAGGTAGAGGCTAATTTAACTCTTATTTTGTAAATATGAAGCTCAGAGAATCCTGGAAATTAAGTATTACTACAAAGTTGGAGGTGGAGGCTACATGGGCAGGGACTCCAGGTTCACTTCAACCATAGCAGTTCTGTGTCCCTTGACTAGAACTTCAGTCTTCATTATATTCTGGATGATTAGTATAGAATATTTTACTTCAACAACTGTACTGAAAAATGGCTGCATCTGGAGGTTAAAGGCATCATCCTTTGGTCTTCCAGTTATGGTGAAAAAGTCAGGGAATGATCAAGAAGCCTAACAGCGAAACGTGCCTGGACTCATGCCAGGAAGATGATAGAACTACTAAGAGATACCATCTGCACAGACTACATCATTGCCAGTGAGGCTGAGACCAAGGACCAAGTGTTTTATGGCTTTTAGATTCCCAAACTATACCTAATTATTAATTCTGTGCTATAAAACTAAAATAAAAATGTAATAYCCATGCCATAGAGATCTGCTCCTTACTGATATATTTTTTAAACTGAAAAATATCAGATTATAGTGATCTGCAATAGCAAAATAATATAGACCAAATGAAAATCACTATAAGCTAAACTTCTGCTAGAGAGAAAAAKCGATTATCTCTCAAGAATGAGCTTTAAAAATTTCATTAGCAGTTTCTAGCAATTGAGCTTAGAAAGATTATTTTAAGGTCATAAAGTAAAACTTATGCCCAGCAGAGGGCACTACAGTCCTCTGCAAAGTTAACCAGTAGGCACAAGAGAAAGTGGTGTACAGAGTAAGAGCTAAAATACAGTCAGTCTTTTGTGTCCTATCCTAACTGTGGAGCCTGTATCCATGGATTCAACTAACAACAGATGGAAAATATTTGGGGGAAAAAAATTCATCTGTACMGAACATGTATAGACTTTTACAAACTGTCATACATCATAATTTCCAGGAAGACTGAGATTTCTGTTGCCTTCACTATTTAGAACAATTGTGTTCATTTCTTAAAAAAGACATATTAGAAACTTTTAAAGAACCTAACATCCMAGATTGTATCCTGTTATATTCTCTTTTAACCTATATTGTACATACCTATAATGGCTGATGAAACTATTTATTCTCAAGATTTCTAAGGAAATTTGTATTACAGAAGTGGTTGTCAAAAAGACGTTAATTGTTAYAAGACAGCTGACATTCTAATATTGTATAACTGATCTTTTTTTTTTCCTTCTAGTAGGCTGATTCTAACCTAAYTTTGAGCATACATGTGAACCACCATCATGGTCTTGACAGTTATTAAGAACATTTATATTCTTCATAAGAACATGTTTCAAATACTGGTTTAGATTTATATGATACACAAAACTACTTTAAAAAAAAACAAGACAAAATTTATTTCACATTCACATTTTTGATCCACTACACCTTGTCTTTATTATACCAAGAGACTAGCAATAAAATGTTTATTTCTTAATAAAAAAAATTGGAGTGATTGAAAAATAAATCTGCTGTTGAAAATTTTGAAGATACCAAAATTAAACTTTTTTTCTGACAACTAGTATATCAYAATTCAGCATTCATATTTTATCATTGATTACAAAAAGAGATGAGATGTGAGAAGTTGGCAGCTGTTAAGAATAATTATTAAATTAATAAACAGTCCTAGAGAAACAGTTCAAATTTTTTGCCATTCAGAAAAAGCATATTCAGTATTTTAGAAAATCTGAAAGATAGTAAATAAACAATTTTAAGGAGAGTCATTATGGTTCAATTCACTTAATCAAACTTAATGAAATGAAGACATAACAGCTATATTTTTGATTGCCTTAGAAAATAACAGATCTGCATCTTAGCAACTGTGCCTGAAAATATGTAAGAGGCTCGAACTATCTGTGGAAGTTCTGYTTAAGAGTGTATGTTACTAATGTTGTAGCTTCAAAACATTACCTCCAGAAGTGCAGTTCAAATCCTTCACATTTTTCTTTGCATTTTAAACAGGGAGCTCCAAATCCTTGCTCATGACCTAAGCCCATCTATTAAAGAAGAAAAACATGGAACTATTATTATGTTTCCAAAAATCTAAAGAATTCAATAAATTACACTTTTAATCCASTTACCATTTCTGCTGATATAACTTTCAAACAAATCTTGTATGAGTATCACTTTGTTTAGCCAATGATGACACCCAGGTATGTAAATGGCAACTCCAAGTACATACATAACATACTATATATTCTATTGCTTTTTATCATGAAAAGAAAGGCATCAAAATAAAACTATGAAAAAATCACAAATAATGAAAGTCAAAAAAAAGTCATAAATTTATGTCTTTGGTCACTATATGGCCTGGACACAGTAAGTACTGGGAATACACAGAGAGCAGAACTTTGAAAGCAAGCCTGGGYCCAAATGACACATTTGGCAGGAAATAAGGAATGTACGAAGGATATTAGGAATCATAACTAAAATAATGTTATTTTATATTGTGACAAATATAATAATAACAACAAATATTTATTTAAGGACAGGAATATCTTGTTATTTATCTTATTAAAATATTGCAAAACTTCATGAAATGGAAATGAAGTAGGAAATATTTTTCTCCATTTTAGAGATGATGCAATTGAAGCCCCAAAAGGTTACAGAACTTGCTTAATATCAAAGTGTCAACAAATGGCAAAAAGAGATTTGAGTTTGACTTCAAGGAGGCCTGTGCTCTCACACCAGGGAGAAAGAAAGTGGTGGTGGAGGGGGTAATACTGTTGCCTTTATTATAGCAAACCATTATTTTTTTTCTGTGCTATAATTAAACAATACCAAGAATTCTTGGTATCCTACTGACACATGCCTAATAAGCAGAAGGGGTGGGGGTACAGATAGAGGAAGGGCACACATAATGGCAATGTAAGCACTTCTACCAAGCTATCTGGAGTGAAAAATATCAACTGGCTTTGCAGCATCAAATCGGAAAGTCACCAATGACCAGATTATCACATATTTTAAATGTCACATCAATGATTGTGATAGTTACTAGCTTGTGACCTGCAGTGGTAATTCAAGTTCAATAAATACTAGATCTTTCTCAATGTACACCCCCCTCCCCATAATTTACCAGGTTGTGTTTATCACTATGCAACCTAAACCACATTGTGACTTGTTCCTTGGAAGATAAGCTGAAGTACCTGATGTGCACAAAATGACCATATCCCCTTCCTATAACTATGGGCATATCCAAAACCAGTGGGGTCCACCAGCTGCTTAGGAAACCCATGTTATTTTTAAGTCACAAGCACAGTCTCTACAGAGACCATAAGATACTCAGAAGTACAAGAATCAGTCCAGTGTCCAGCATTAACTAAACCTAAGTACCGTTACCATGTCTACAAAACTACCAATTTTCAAAAGAATTAAAATTTTATAAATTATATGTATACCTACTATCAGCCCTAAACCTTTTTTTTAAACAAAATCAAACTGTTTCTTTGTCATCGATAACCACAGTTCATAATACCAAATACATGAGTTAAAACAGAGGGAAACTAGTTATTTGAGTTTTCTGGTCTTCTGTAAGGGAACACAATTAAGAATTTTCTCCATTAAAATATCTGTAACMAATGAAAGGAAGAGCAAATCTAAAAGGGTATGTATTTTTTTTCAACCTGTTCTAGTTTTCTATTATAGGAGAGTTAATAATCCTGAATTCACCCGGAGTATGGGTTTATTTCATGCTGTGTTCTTTGCAGCTCCTGCTAAATTCTTAATTCCAAATGAAAATTAAGATTAATCACACAACCACATAACTTAGCTAAAATCAGTGGCTTTTAAATTCTCATATGAGATCCAAAATAARAAATACATTTTATCTCATGACAGGCTTACAGGAGTGCACACATGCACATGTGTGCACACACACAATAACACATTTTTATATACAAAATACTATATATGTGGGTGTAAAATTCTGAGATTTACTGACTTAGATAATATCTAGAGTTAAGCTTACTTTTTCTCTAAATAAAATCACCTAAACAAATTATTCCCCTGCTTTCAACCYGAGCCACCTGGTGTGAATAAGACTGGGTTTGTTCACATACACTGCACATGTACTAGAACAATATGTCTCCTCTATTTCTGAATACAACTTAAAAGTTTAGCTAATATAACTAGAACCTCCATTAGACATCACAGCTTTTACAATAAGGTTTCAGTGTAACTAACTGCAGACTGATGAAGTCAACCCTACAAAGGAGCAAGCTGTTTTTTTTTTTTCTTTACCCACATTTTATCTTCTTATAATAGTTACCAGTTTGTGGTGACATTTCATGAATACCTGCTATTCTAAATGTCTTACACATTCTTATTCTGGATAGGTCGAGGCATCCCTCTCATGTGAAAGATCAGGAAACTAAAATCCAGAAAGAAGAGATGATTTGCTCCTGGTTACACAGCTAGTCAAAGGTAAACCTGACCTAAAATTCAATGTCTGGCTCTACAAGTAGACAACTTTCTGAGAGCTTGATAATGGCATGGCTTGAGTAAATTAGGGAAGTAGAGAAAGTTTTTGAACAAAAGATGCTTGAATTGAGATTGAAAAGATGATCAGCATCTAGCAGCCAAGAGAATACTGTACACTCGACAGCAAGGGAATATCTCATTCAAAGGTCATAGTGGAAGTCAACAAGAGGGAAGCACAACAGGTGTAAGGACCAGCCTCTACGGCAGTCAGAAAGTTTTGTTTTATTTTCCTTGTTCCAAGGAAGAAAGTACAACTCCTGATGCCTTCCGTATTATGTCTGGGGCTACCAGGTTTATCAGAGGAAAGACACCACCAGAGATGGGAGAAGACTGGTAAGGAGGAAGCCCTAGAGAACAACCATGCGATTCTGCAACTGGGGCATTCCCAAGCTCCACTGGCCTACCTTGGCCAGCGGCCCTCAAGGCAATGGGTAGGGAGCCTGGGAAGCCCCGACCTGAAAAAGAGCAGTAACTTGAGAAAGTGGYTCAGAAAGCATTGCTAAAGGGTTCTTTCACTCAGCCCTGCTTGAGGGCCTACTTATTGTCCAYACAGGCTCTTTACAGCAAGGTTTGTGAATGCCTGGAGAAAATGCAAACCCACACACTTTCATCCTCCCCATGTGCTCAGACACAAAGAGTGAGAAGACCTTGGAAATATCACAGATATCAAGAGAATAAAAAAAGAATGGAAAGAGGTCAGGGCAATATGATATTTTTCTCCTGGAAGTAATCTTGATTAAAAACAAATACAAGAACAAGAACACCTAGTTTTCAAAACCATTGTTGGTAGCTAAAGCAATTATAGAGTTTCAGACTAGTTAGAGACTTATTTTCCAAGGAAAATTTTAATCWGAGAAATTATTTTATAGTGCATAGCTACAAAGCTTAAACATCACTGACATCCAGTACTGAAGATCTCTAATTTTATGTCATATCAGGAGAAAACTTGGGTATGCAAATTCTCTTTATCAACCTGTTAGGATTAAAAATAAAAAGCATAATACCACTCCAGCAAAAAAGATTTGTGATTCCCACTCTACTATTTCCCTGTTCAGTGAATATAAATGCTTCCAGACTGAACTATAATCTAGAATGCAGAGGCTAAATCCAATATAAATTACATTGCCCAGTAGCAGACACATTTGTATAGGATGAGGAAAAGTTCTGCTCTGCTCCCATCCCAACTGAGACAGTTGGACTTCTACTAGTATCCCTTAGCCAAATATGTATCAGATGAAGGAAAACATACTAATTCTGTTCTGTAGTTTCAGAGTCAGAACTGCCCCAGGTAGCTTGTTAAGGCCCATTCCCAGACCTTTTGGAACAGTATTAGAGAACCTGGGGTCCCCAAACTCTTCTCAGTTTCTTTTCAGTTCAAGGATGTGAAGCACCATCTGTCCTAAGAGCTCCACCAATTTCTATCCCTCTTTCACTTTGTGTTCAGGATTCCCTGAACCCAGGATCCAGAATTCTTCTATCTTCAGCACAGACTACATCATCTGGTTAGGGTCCTTCTTTCCTCAAGAGCAGTAGCTGTTATTCATGCACATCCACATCTTATAGATCAGTTTCTGCCCAGGTTGTCTGTGTTGGAGAATTCATGGTAAGGAATAAGAACTGGGAAGGTGTTGCTTAAGATATCCCAGGTCCATACAAGGATATGTGGGAGGGTGTGGAGAAAGTGGTGAGCTGAGAAAGTGTTAGCTACTTTTTAGTCAAGGCAAGCTAGATGTTTAGTAGATGAAGTGTAGTTCCTCAGACTAGTGTAAACACCAAGATATTGTGCTTGTATACAGTACTTATGTTGTCAGAATTAGCTATCCCAGGTATTAAGGAAATGATCAAAAATTACATGGTTAAAAATACTAGAGAATTAATATAACAGAGGCCTTTGAAAATGTAGAAAAGTCAGGAAAACTTTGGTCTGGTCCCAGAATATCATGGGTGCCACGTTCAGTGATTTTGTAAGTCATTTTTCTTCTCTGGGTTTCATCTAAATAATGAAGGAATAAATTCGACTTTAAAAAAAATTTTAATTCTAAAATTCTGCTTGAAAACCATGTGTCAGATTAACTTTATCCTAGATTGTCATCCAGCCTGGTCAAAATTTAATCACTAGAGAATGATTATTTAAGAAAGCTAATATATTAGCAGCTCTTGTAAGTCAGAACCATTTTGAATTCAGTTTGGAGGAGCAATCTGTAAAGTATACAAAGTAAACAAGACTTAAGCTGAGAGGGATATAACTCAGTTCTGTTGTACATTACCATTCACCAGCAACTGTGATTCGGTATTCCCCACAGAACCAACAGTTGGTGCCTAAAAACACATGTTTTTCATAAGCACACAAGTACCAAAGCTGTCCACCTCATACAATTTTAGTAACACAATCTGGCCAGCATCAATACAAGGATATGACAGATTAATTTTTCTTCTTCAGTATGCAAGAAAACAGGTCCTTTGGATTGACTATATTTGGAGAAATCAGTTACCCTTTGTGAATACCTATCAAGGTCCT